ACCAAGAAAAGCATGTGGGCATTGGAGGGGAAATGGCCGCAGAGGAGGAGGGCTGAGTCTTGAGGAAGAGGAGCAGGAGAGTGAGTTATTCTGAAAGACAATTGAGGTAGATGGAGTGAGTGACGTAGGAAAGGCATCCGGGCAGAGGTGGAAGGTCTGTGACAGTGGCGAGCACTCCAGGAGCCATTGGAGATTCTTTTGGAAGACAGGGTCATGGCTGGGCCCAGAACAGAAAAGGTCTCTCAGGTCACTGGGTGACTGCCTGACCCTGAGGACCACAGATGTCCATCATAGATTCCTAAGCTAGGAATACTGCCTGATAAAATTTTCTCTTTTGTTGAAGAGGGTGATTGTTTTTATAAAGGTTGTGAAATGTTTCCAATGAAGTGTGTTCTGAAGAATCCTTATAGTCATTGTGGTATCTGTTATTAATCTTGGCACTGGGGGAGGCAGAGGCAGGCAGATCTCTGTGACTTTGTAGCCAGCCTGGTCTACGGAGCAAATACCGGGGAATACCATGAACAGGGCTACCTAGTGAGACTGTTTGTAAAAGTAATAACAACAACAACAATACAGTGAATATTTCATTGAAACTAATCTTAAAAATCAAACATATCACTGAGATTGAAAGGCCCTATGGACCTCTCTAAAAGTGAGTCTCTCTGCTTCTCCCTTAACATGGGCATGCTAGGCCACCCATGGGCATGGTCAGGGGCACAGAATCTTCAAAGAGCACTTCAGCAGCAGTCAATGAAATAGTAAGTGAGCAGACCCATGTCACCCACAAGTCCCTGTCATCTGCACCATGGGGTGACTTGTACCCATAAACACAGGAGATGGAGATAAAGGAATCTGTAGCAATATTGTCTGGAAATCCACAGAAACCTTCCTCTCCATCACCAGAAAAGAAAGCCTGCCCATTGAGGCTTATTCACCTCATGAATACTGTGGTAAGAGCAAGGACCACAACTTCTACAAGGATTAATCCAAAATTTATAACTTTGGGGAGGGGTAAGGAAGGAAAGGAGGGAAGGAGGGAAGGGAGGGAGGGAGGGAAGAAGGAAGGGAGGGAGAAAGGAAAGAAGGAAGGAAGGAAGGAAGGAAGGAAGGAACGAATGAACGAACGAATGAACGAAGGAAGGAACGAAGGAAGGAAGGAAAGAAAGAAAGAAGAGACATGAACATAGGCAGCATGCCAGCATTTATAGGAGGGTTAGATGCCTTCACAGTGGCTCTTCACTCTATTACAGACACAGCTTGCATAGGAAACACAGATGCATGGAAATGGTGATGCTGGAATCCCAAGAATGGGTCCTCAGGGGTCTGGGCAAAGGAATTGGCTTGGAGAGGGTCACCAGAGCTGACGGGTGGCTCTCTTCTTAAGGCGAGTGCTGGGCACATACTGCTTCTGCCTATCATTCTTTAATTTTTATTTTTTTCAGTGCTGGGCTTGCAGCGGAGGGTCTTGTGCTGTTAGGCAAGTGTTGAACCAGGGGTTTTATCCTGGATCCTTTCTCCTGCCCTCCCTCCCCTGCTCCCCCATCTGTTTTCTCTCACTCTGTTTTTCCAGACAGGGTTTCTCTGTGTAGCCCTGGCTATCTCAAAACTTGTTCTATAGATCAGGTTGACTTCAAACTCAGAGATCTGTCTGCCTCTGCCTCCTGAGTATGGGCACTAAAAGTGTGCACCACATTACCTGGCCACCCAAGCCTTTCTTCTATTTATTTTTGAAACAGAGTCTTATTAAATTACCCAGGGTGGGTTTGAACTTACAATGTAACCCAAGCAGGCCTCAAACTTATGGTCCTCCACCTCGGCCTCCTTTGTAACTGGGAATATAGACCTGCACCACAAGGCTTAGCTAAAAATTTTGAAATAACATATAACCCCCAAATTTCCAAACTGTCATTTCAAATCATAGCTAACATGAAAATTATTAGTTATGTTCCAGTTCTTTTTTTTCCCCAAATTGAGTCTTTGGTTTTTTTCATTTAAAACAGCATGTTTCAAGGGGGGAAGACCCACATTTCAAGTGTTCAGTGACTACTTTCTGTTAGTGGTTCCCACACCAGACAAGAAGAGGTCCACACAGTTTAGGTGGAACTTGTATCCTTTCCAAACCTGAAAGTCTGATGACAGGGGTGCGCAGCGCAGAGGTGAAGGATCTCCATCATTTACTGATCATGAGCCATAGGCCAGCACCCATGACATTTCATTTAGTCACCCTAATAACGCTGTGTGATTACCTGTGTTTTTCCTTTTAAAATGTTATTTGTGTATATGGGCACATGTACGTGTGTGTGCATTTGTATGTATATGTCTGTCTGTCTGCCTGTCTATCTCCCTGTCTGTCTGTCTGTCTAGGTGAGCATGTACTTGGAGGCCAGAAGTCAAGGTTGGGCAGTTTCTCAGTCTCTTACTGAACCTGGAGCTCACTGATTCAATCTGGCTAGGCTGTCCCGCCGGCCGCCAGCTCCAGGCACCCCCTTGTCTCTGCTTCGCTAGCACTGGAGATACAGGGAGTGCAGTTACACCCAACGTTTTATGTGGCTGCTGGGATCTGAGCTCAGGTCCTCACTCTGCTGACTGGGCCGTCTCCCCAGCCCACTGTGTCTTCCACTATGATTAAATAGACAGGATTTGCCATTTTGACTTTTGAGTGCCTCCATAGTACTCTTCATCCTTTTCTGTATGACCAAAGAGACACACACACACACACACACACACACACACACACACACACGCAC